ATTAATTAGAGTAATTCTTGGTAATCTGACTTACACTTGACCTCATTTGGTTAGCTCATCTTCCTTGACCGAACATCTGCCTGATATTCCAAACTGACAATGTTCTGAGTGATTTCTGATGCAAGAAACAAGTACAAGTAAATCTAACTAATCTTATAAGACACCTATAAAAAAAAGCATGTATGGAATAATGCCTCTCCTGCAGAGGAAAACAAACTTGTCTCCTCTTACCTTTTCCCTGGCGGTACCTCCTCCGACATTCACAATTGTTGTCCTGAGCCATGTTTTCATAAGGCTGTTCAGTAACCATAAAATTCTTTCTTAGACATTATATTACAAAGATTTTTCACAGCCCAGTATTATGTTCATTAATAATCTACGTTGGAATGATAAAAGTTAAACTCTTCACATTTATTGCCACGAGTGCACCACAGTGTGGGCATATTTCTCATCAGTGACATGCATATTGCATGAGTACAGGTTCTTCTCGTTGTTTTCGCTCCCCTGTGAACAAAGTATGATCTGAACTTCATAACACATAAAATGCACGTATGTGACATTTGTAATTTTATGAGATCAATCGTACTGGCTGCAGGCTTTCTCAAATATATGCAGCATTAAATCAAAGCTTTGACATACAGAAGAGCATATTGCCCTTAACAAAATGTGGACAGCAATTAAAATATTGTTTGTTTTGTTCTTTTGTACTGAATCTTGTACAGTTCTATATTATTTTACATCTTACATAGAAATACAAAAATATGTTAGCTATTCCATAACCTATTTTAAACATTACTAAAACATAATTAAATTGAACAAGTGGAAAATACAAGACAATACTTATATAATATAAATAATTTGAACAAACTTTTATAAACCTATCTGAGTAAAGTCATGAAAAAAAACTGTGACAGTTCTTACTGAATATTTTAGGATTTTAATTTAGTCATGTGAGCAACACGATGGTGCTAGTGCTTTAAACATTTGTTTACAGTTGGAAACTCAAACAGAACAAGGAAATACATAAAGGAAATTCCTTTTCCCTCCTATGGTTATTGCTATTTTTTTCCTCCATCAAGATGTTCGCCTCCTTATCTTCATCTTCCATTTTCAAGCTGGCTTCTTAGATCTGCGCTCCTTGAGCTCATTCTGCAGAGATAGCACATGAATAAAGACATGAATGCAAACAATAATAGGAAGTTCAGAGAAAAGATTTAAGAAAAAGAAGTGAATTTGTAAGAAGACATTTTTTATTTGTATTTATTGAAAAGTTTTGTTGTCCTAAGGTGTCAAATTTTACTTTATCAAAGCAAATGGGTACAAAAAATAATACTACTAAATAATAACACATCTCACTATGAGTAAACAACTTCTACAAAAGAAAGAACAAGCATTTTGTTTTGCAACTTTGATTTAGCTTTCTGACTTCATTTTGCTTATAGATTTCTACTAAACAACCCCTTTGGTTGGTTCACCTGACAATCTTAATCTACAACAATTGGACTTTTTAAAAGTCTTGAGGCAATTTTTGCTTCATTTAGGTAGCATGAAGGACCTCTCTTCCAACGTGACATCTTGACCCTACAAGCCTTCTCACTGAACTCTGCTCTATAAAAGCTTTCTTACATCAAGCTGACACGAAGTTCTATTTTAATCTTTTGTGAGTAATTATAGAAAAAAAGAAAGAAAATAATAATTAAAATCTGTAACACAATTGTTTTCATTTCAACAGTTATTCAAGTGTCCTATTGATCACATTATTTGAACCTGAATTATTAGTATGAATTGCCATTTTAACCATACAGTGTGAAGATGCTGATCTGTTTTTCTTTTTTCCTACAGCCAGCGAACAGCTGCGCTCGGCACTGCCGTGTCGACAACAGACCAAAACATTTTTTCCCCCCAAGGGAAATGTTCAGTCTTAAGCCAGATGAAACTGAGAAGTTAATATCTTTATTTTGACTTGTCTGACTTCACCTGCTGTAAACAGCTAGTTTGAGAAAAAAGAAAAAAAGGAGAGTTCAGCTTTTGTCCTGAAACTGACAAGACGCCGTCAGGATTGGGGTGCCAGCCAAGCTGAGTAAAATGTAGTTTATTTAATTTTACTCTGCAGAAAGCGATCAAGCCAACTCACTGGGGTCTGAAAACAACAGTTCCCATTTGATGCGTTATCCAAGGCTTTGTATGATGGAAGGCACTTCAGAACTCTTGCTAATAACCCCACGAACAGTTCTGGACCTGTGTGGATTCCAGTGAAAGAGTCCACACTTAAAGTTGCCACCCCGATTGAGACAACATTTGTCTACATCACTGGGTGAGAATATCAAACTGTACATCTCTTAAGGCATCAAACTTTTCTAAAAGCTGTTCTGGTTGTTTAACAAGCTGGAGGAACTTGATATCTCTTCTTATCTGCAGTAAGATTAAATAACTAATTTCAAGATAGTAATAAAATGGCTAACCATTAATCTGACCACATATTAAGAACCCTTCTCTCCAAATTCAAAAAAAAAATATTTAATTTCTTAAAATGGGTTATTTGTCAATTAACTAATAGAAGACAAAAATATCCTTTGGGGAAATAAAGGCACAGTGTGTAGGATTTTGTCAAGTCTTTTAGCCGAAATTGAGATAATCACTAATGACAATAATAAAAAACATGTCTAATTATTGCAGACAAAGACCTTGTTTTATTATTTTTACCTTATAAAAAGCTGTTTATACCTCCATGATCGCGGGTCGCCCTACAGGCAGCCGCCATCTTGCACCGCCATCTTGTCTACGAAGGCTCATGAAGGACAAACTGCGGTGGCAGCGTCAAAAACTGTTTTAGTTGTAACACTATAAATGTAATATTTGTTGTCTGTCATTGTAGCTGGGATAATTTTACTTATTAAAGCTCATAATCTTACCACTTGAAACATCACTAGCCCTGAAGCTGCTGGTAGACATCGCGGTTGGAATTATCAAAGTTTTTGACACCTGAGAGACACCGTAGCTACTCCTTTGTGTTTGGAAGCAGGTGGTGGGGGTGGGGGGAGGACCAGGGAGGATGATTCAACCACTCAACCACTAGATGTCGCTGAAAACAACAAATCCTACACACTGTGCCTTTAAAAGGGTTAAACATCAACCTCTGTTTAAACATCAATTTTTATCTTAAACTTAGACTAAATACATTATCTCTACATTACTTTCCCATATTACATATGTTCTAAGCCTTTATTAGTTTTGCCTTTATGTCATAAATCTTTACTATTTTTAATCATTATTGTTGAGCAGCAAAGAAGAAACCATGGTACAGTCAGTTTGTGTGGGTTAGCATTTAGCTGTGGCCAGCCACTGGCCCTTTTATCCTGTTTTTGTCTCCTGGAACACTGCTTCCTGTGAGTCCTAGCCCAGTCAGCTGTCTGCCTCCAAAGCAGCTCCCTGTATAGATCCTCATTTTAAACAGGAAGTCTGTAATCTTCCATGAAGGTTTTGTCTGATCTCCAGCAACACCTCTGGACTGCATCGTACCACATCAGCATGCTGACCATGTGTGAAATATAAATGAACTTTCAAATAAAGTAAGCTCACATGTGACAATAAATCACATTTCTGACATTATGCACGTGTTACAACAAGTATAACTTTCAGATTACCTTATTTGGACAGGAGGTTTCTTATCTTAACTTGAGAATTTCAAAATAAGATTCACCAGAAGCCTTCAACTTTTTTTACAGTTTATCCCAGCCTCTCCACACTAAAGAAATCAGCTTTGTCCCAACATTCAGCTCTAAACATACATTGCCCGTACATGCCTAACTCAGGTTCTTGTTAAAAATGTTGCTTTCACGACATCCATATGGACTTATTCAGCTAAGGGACACACAAATAAAACAATATTAATACATCCAGATAATCAAAGGATCAACCACATGCACAGATTTGCTCTTGCAGCTCTACACCTCAGTGTGCACTGCCAAGTTCCTTTTACAAGACAATTATAGACTAGCACAGGTTTTCTTATGCTGCCTTAGCTCCAAACAAAAAGTTTAACCAGACACAGGTTCTGTGAAAAGGATAATGGTGTTTGCAATTCTTGGAAGCTCACTGTGGGATCATGGCTCAGCTGAAAAAGTGTACTCTGAAATAAACCTGGATGTCTATGTAAAATGGAAAAAAAAGGCCTCGTAAATCTCGTAAATCACCACTCTTTAATACTATGTCATTTAAAAAAAGGACTGACACATAAATCAGAAGTCAGCTGTAACATTCCCAAGGGGTATGAGTGCTGCACTGTCAGGCTGTCTTTTTTTTTTCTCACATGTCAGTATGGCTGACTTCACATCTGGATCATCATTATTATGGCAGTCAGGACATTTGACAGAGAATGCTGCATCACACACACATATATAATGCATTATAACTGTTTCTACATTTTTAATTTTGAAACCTAACTAAATATAAATTAAATGTGACTAAATTATATCGTATCGCATTAGCAATTTATCAGAGTTGGATGCAGCAGAATTATCTTTATTCCACTCAGATGGGAACTTATAATTTGAGACATTAACTGGTGTGAGCCTTCATTAGTCTGATGAGGGAAGCTGTTTAACTGTAACTTCCATTTTAAAGACCCCATAAGCTTTAAAACTGAATTTATTGTGGAAGTCATCAAAGCTAAATAAAGCCAGTTATCGGGGATTTTATGCTGAGAACAGCAATTATTCTAAATTAACCAACACATGCATTGCTCATGTTTCAGACAGTCAGACAAGCTGGTTATATCAGGGTGTGTCATCAAAACGTGTGCCTTTCAGTAATGACTCACTGCGACATATCCGAACACTCACTCACAGACTCAAAAAGGAATACCTTACTTTATAGAACACAAATCTCTTAGTTATTTCAATACTGTTACCGTGACTCCACAATATAAAACATTGAATGAGATTGTTCAGAGAACAAGATACTGTATCATCTTTATGCGGTCATCTTTATTGTCACGCGATGCCACCAGTAACCCCTTAGTTTATATGGAAAACATGAGCACGTGGCTTCTGATTCACATGGGCCTAAAGAAGCAAAAACAAAAGCAGTGAACAATCTACTCAGCAACTGAGTCACTTCACACAAAGATCATGTTTAGAGCAAGGAGGGCCCTCAAGGAAAAAAAAACAGACGCCGTGACAAGAGCGAGGTTGAACAAAACTGCTCAACAAATTTAAATTACATCTGCTTTTCTTCACTCCTTGTCTTTCTTTCTTTTTCATTTAGCACTCCCTTGTTCTGTTATTTGATTTTCAACTCTGTTTGCTGCCTCACTTTCTCTCCACCACCACCCCCCATGCTTCCTCTCTCTCTCTCTCTCTCTCTCTCTCTCTCTCTCTCTCTCTCTCTCTCTCTCTCTCT